CACCTTATGCATTACACACAATTCGAGAGTAAACAGCTGTTGTCATTTAATAGCAGTGGGAGAGAACTTCCGACGCATGTTAACTTTTCATCTAATGTCTGATTGAGGTAGTTTCAGTGTTCACACGAAGCTTTCTCTTGGCTTTAGCTATTGGCACAAGTTTCACACTCAAATTCATTTTCTACAAAAAAGTTAGATACCAAAACCCATTTTACCACTTTTTTTGCATAAAACTCACAACAATGGTATCCTAACTCATATACAAGTGCCAAAAGCTTACACTGACCATCTGACCATACTCAATGGACTTTTGAGGACTTATGCAATACACCATAATCAACCAAATACACATATAACATAAAATCACTACTCAACCTCAATTTTACTAAACACAAAGGGGAGGAAAACTTGTACAAACCATTAATTTTCATTCCAAATCATTCAAAATAAACATGTTCCTACTTATATGAGTATTTTAACCTTATCGAAGGGTTTGCAACTAAAACTCACTAACCGAAGGCATAAAATACACAAGTATGCATAAATATAGTGCAAGTAGCTTAAAGTCAATGGTATATGACCTAGTTAGCAAATTAATAATGCTCATACACAGAAATAGAACATAGAGACATATAAAAGAATTACTTTAGAACCCTATGCCTCAGCACGTTTTTCTAGATTTAAATTTGATAAATTAGGCTCTGAAAATATTGAGAATCGAAGGGTGAGTGCAACCACTCATTAACCAAGTTTCACCTAATCTATACAGCTGCATATCAATTAAAAACATATGCAAATAGGCAAAATCACCCCATATAGCATATATGATGACTATAGCCCTAGTTCATAATACTAACAACTATATAACTGGGCCAAACGTACATAAATGACAATGCATATCATAGAGTCGCGATAATACCAACCATATGCCTCTAACAAATACAGAACCATGATAATAACAGTTATGTGGCTAGATTTAAATGCATGATTAAATGCCAACCTTATACCCTCATGTTACCTTCAATATGAAACCAGTGGCTATTCGATGGCTACATCCTTTACGAACTAACCTAGCCTTTTAATTATGAGGAGCTACCGAATCAGGGTTAACTCACTCACTTATGTAACACGGTTTCTCCCAATACTAACAACATGGAATGTCATACCCCTAATCTAACCTTTTCATGAACCGGTGGAGACTAGTTAAGTTTGAATCCCTTATAAAATAAGTGGGACAGTCCCAAATCAATTATGAGACACGGGTTACCTCTTGATTCCAACGGTTGGTGCCAAGGTAAGTTCTCAATTTTAACGGTCACTGCCAATACTATGTGGGTTTAACAACTACTCATTTCTCTAGGTGAACTCCTGCCAATAATCATACGATGCATGCATACCACATATTCATGCAACTCAATTATCAATCACATAACTTAGATTCACCTATCCATAATTACATATTCAACTCACTCCACATGCCAAATACCATATTTTATAAATTTCACAATGACATACCATTAATCAAAATCATTGCTCACTATAAGCAAACATAAATAAGGTTCTCTATTTCTTTCAAAATTATTTCTCACCAATTCATCAATTCATCATAATTTCAAGCATGCCAAATTTACATCAAGAGTTTAGAAATATCAATCATGTTTTAAATCAACTAATTCAACAATTAATCAATCAATATTCACCTATATAAACTAGGTTTTCCTTAGTTATTTTAAACCTTTGAGAGGTCAAAAGTTTACCCTCACAATAAACACTTCCAAAACTCCTCTCAAGCTTAGATAATGCCAAAAATAAATTTCTCTACAATTATATGACAATGATATCATCATTATCCCATTTATAACAAATTTCAATACCATAAATCCACAGTCTCTATTTAATCAATCCCATAATTCATTATACATTCATACCCAATGGGTTTTCTAAGGTCCGTCGACTCATATTTTTACTAATGAGTCATTAAACTATCATTAATGACCTACCAACACAATCAACCACCTTATTTATATTGAACTTTGCATATTAATGGCTCCTCCCAAGTAACCAATGACAAAATCATTAATGTAGGGTTTAAATACCTTAAACAACTCTCATTATATCCATTTTAATCAATGGTTCAAACTCAAAGCTCCTATAGATTGAAAATTACTCTCCCAACTCAAACCCTCATAAACATGATAGAGAAAGGAAGATGAGGATGTAAATTACTTACTTTAAGTGTTTGGATGCCTCAAAATGTCTTCAAGGGTCCCAATGCGCATGCCCTGGTAGAGCCAAGTCGTGTTTTTTGTTTTCCAATCTTTCTCCCTTCTATTTTTGCACATAGAACACAAACTGATACAGTCTAATTTTTGACCATGTGCTACAATGCACGTAGCCACCTACCATAGTGCATAACACAGAGAGGCCCAATGGAGCTTGTATTGCTTCTGTGCACTGCAACAGATCGTGGCATGTGGCATAGAAAGCATTTCATCACTTTTTACTCCTATTTCCTTACCCAAATGGCTTGACTTCACTCTGGACTTGCATTTAGGGTTGAAATTATAATTAGTTGCACAATTTAAACCACTCAAGCCACACACCTCCTCAACTCACTAAGCACATTCATTAGGCTAATTAATCATGCTTAATTTTCTTAAATGTTACAAATAAACATTTAATAAGATATCTTGATTATTGAAATTTTTATCTCACTCATGACTATCATTTTTACAAGACCTGACATTGTGAGCTTGAAAGGGAACGAACCAAGCCGAAAGTAGTAGATCTCTTGTTGGCCATCAAGGTTGGTGTAATGAATTAGTTGTTGTAAATATGGTATTATATATAAGTTACCATAGGACTACATGTACATATAAACATTAAAGTGCTAGTATGTGGGTACTTACGTATCCTAGCCCTATAATGCATGTGTGTGTTTATGGTGAATTTTGTAAATGAGGGCTAAGGGTACTACTACAAGTGCATATGTGTGCATACGTTTGGTGTGAAAGAGTGTGAAATTTGGCCAAATGTTGATACATATGTATGAATGTGTGTAATTGCCTAAACATATGAAAATGGGTAGTTTAGCAACCAAACATGTGTATATGTGTGATATTATTGATATGTATGGTCAATCAGATGTTAAATGTCCCATTGGTTGTTATCAAGGCCCTAGGAATGACTATTGATATGTGGTCTATAAATGGGGTGCTTGAGTAAGTGAAAATGACTTAAAATGGTCATTTTGCATTCGAATGTTCAATTTTCAAACAAAATATTGAAGTTAAATGAAACTAGTGTCATTAGCTAGAGTTCGAAATAAGTTTTGTATAGGTGCTTGTATCATCCAAATCAGACATCATATGAGAAAACATCATACTTTATAAGTTCATATCAGACATACTATTTGACAATAAAATTTGATACGTGTGCTGCGGTGCATAGTACACATGCTGCAGAGCATTTCACAGAACAAGAAGTGGTGGCTCTGTACGACATGCCATGGTGCATGTGCCACATACCATGACATATAGCTTCATTCAACCTAAAATTGCCGTTTTGCCTCTTTTGTCTTCTTGCATTAGGTATATGAAATCTTTATTCTTCCACTATGTAAGTGTTAGACTTTTAACTTATTTGAAATGGTTTTCTTAAAGATTTTATGAGGGATCCCAATTGATTATAGTTTTTAATTTTAAACCTAAGTGTGAATTGGTGTGTTATTTCGTAATGTCAAAAAGGCATTACATGATCCAACCCCAAGAAAAACCATTAGTGGTGAGCTAGCACAAAACATTATAAGGAGTAATAGAATTCAAGCAAGGTCTTGTTGCTTTGCTTTCTTCTCTCTCATGTCTACTTAATACTTTGTTTCTACTCCGTTCACTTACTATTACTATTGTTTCAAATGTTCAATATGATTAAAAGTATAGTTTATGAGGCACATACATGGGAAAAAGACTAGTTAACGATTAACGGTTGCTATGAGAAGGTGATACAATTGCAAAGACAACTGCAAGAGCTTCAACAATAGTTAGATACTAGACAAGGGAATGACACTATCCAACATGATCAAATATATCTTGATCCTACCACAACTTCGATCCTTCATTAGACACTTGTAGAACCAACTCAAGCAGAGTTTATGGTTCTACAAGCTTTTGAAGTAAGAATTATATGTGCAATTTCCTGATGTTAAAGGAAAATTGAAGGACACAATTGAAAATTTTGATGAGAAAATTCAACCACATGGAGCCATTTCCAAAACAACTTCCTCAAAACCATTAACTAAGGAAAACTTGATTTGTGGTTGCACTTCTTTTGTCTTGGGAGCTCAATTTGATTTCTTCTTTCTTAGCCTCCTTTGTATTTTGGTTTTAGAACCTGGATTCTCTGGTAGATAAGCTATGATGGTAATGTATATTAAAATTGGTTTTATTTCTAGTTTTTAAAATCCTACTTGTGTCAAGTTTTGGGCAATCTACATCTTTTCTGCCTCATTCTACTCTACTAATCAATTTCAAGGCCCTAGATACTTACTTTTTTTTGTTTTTGAATGGTTGTTGCGTTATGACTGACACTTTGAGCTGCATTATTATGCAAATTGCTGCCTCAAAAATTTGACGTAGTTAATGGTTGAGATGGCCTTCAATGACATTTGGTGATATTTTGGGTAGTCAACTATAGTGCATAGGTGCCTTGGCTAAAACTAAAATAAGTTCAAATCAATGACTTGATTTGATCCAATTTCGTATAACTTTTTTAAGTAACTCAATTCCGAAAGTCAGTAGACAAGTGAAAATTAATTTTAACTTGAACTTGGTTTTCAAATCCAACTACACTGTAACAATTATCCTTGACATTATAGGGTGTTATTGTGGATCTGTGAGCTGGGTAGCATAATTTAATATGTTAAAAATTAAATACTCTATTGTCAGGTTAAAACTTTTTTTCCTTGCGAAAATTAATCCATATTGATAATACTAGAAAACCTCTTGAGGAAAAGATATGAACCGGCGATTATAAAATTACATGAGACCGAACAAAATACAGCTCTAAATACAATGGAAGAATCAGATTGATGGCCCGGAAAAACCCCATTTTTGGTTCCTACACAAGGCCGCCAACTAGAGATGATGTGCTAAAAACTGGCGTCATCTTATTAGCTTCATCTTTTTTATTGTTGCTATCGCTTTTACTCCGAGGCTTTGCCTCTTCAAGCATCATTATCACATCTCTCATGGAGGGTCTGTCCTTGGGTAGCTTTGCGGTGCAAAGAAGTGCTATTCTAAGAACTAAAAGCATCTCCTCTACAACATGCCTGCAATTTCCTACACTTGGATCTAATGCTTCTTCTAGAGGCTTGTTGTCTCTAATCTTCCTCCTAATCCACTCAACAATGTCCACAGATTCTCCAAACTCAGAATCCAGTGGACTCTTTCCTGTGAGAAGCTCCAACAGAACTACTCCATAACTGTAAGTGTCAATCTTTTCATCCACCTTCAAGGTATATCCATACTCTGCCAGATAAACAAACATTAGAAATGTAAGAAACATGAGATAGATGATCTAATGTGAACTCTACTCTACTGATTGAAACTGTCATGTTATGTTCTTTGAATTCTTACTATCCTACACATACTCAAGTAATATTAAACGTAAAGTTACCAATGATCTGATAAAATAAGACATATGAACTAATTGGCCAAAATAAGACGTGTGAACTAATAACTCACCTGGGGCAATGTAGCCGTAGGACCCAGCAATCATGGAGACAGTTTCATTCTTCCCAGTCATCATTTTGGCTAATCCAAAATCTGCTATCCTTGCCTCAAGATTTGCATCAAGCAGTATGTTATTTGACTTGATGTCGCGGTGGATGACCGGTGGATGATAGTCATGATGAAGATAAGCAAGCCCTTGCGCAATTCCTAGAGATATGTTATATCGGGAAGCCCAGTCTACAAGCAACCTTCCAGCTTGTTTGCCATGCAAGGCATCTCCAAGGTTTCCATTGGACATAAATTCATAAACCATCATAACATCAATGTCGTTATAAAGGTATCCCAATAGTCTAACGATATTTCTATGTCTTAGCCTGCCCAATAGATTCACCTCTCCAACCAGGTCATCATTACTTCCTACTTCAGTATCAGATCCTGATGTCCACAACTTTTTCACCGCCACAACTGTATTTGACTGTGACAGTTCAGCCTTATAAACAACCCCAGTTGCTCCCATTCCAATCACATTTGTTTCCTTAATGCAAGCTAGAATTTCAGTGCTTGTAAAATTAAGCCTCTGAAATGCCATCAATCTCCAGGGCCACCTTTTGTCACCCTTATAAATCTTTTCACCGTTGCGGAAGCCATCAGAGTACCACCTTATGTATATAGATCTAGCAACAAAAATGGCAATCCCAATAGCCAATACTGATGATATTCCAATGACCCATCCTGTGATTATGTGTCTTGCTCGTGAGCTCCCATGCTTCAATGAATATGCAGAGTTTTGGCCACATGGAGGGAGGATGCCACCGCATAGGCCAGCATTACCCATGAGATCACTTGGGTTGATGGTTCTTAGCATGCCATTTGTTGGGACGGGACCCTCAAGCTGGTTGCATGAGACATTGAGAGCTTCGAGAGCAGGAGAAATACCAAAGCTATCAGGTATCTGACCAGTGAGAGAGTTGTTGGAAAAATCAAGAATGGCCAGTGAAGGCATGTTGGCTAGAGCTTTTGGGATTTTACCAGTCAATTGGTTGTTCTTTAGGTTCAAGTTTACCAATTTCTGACAAGAAGCAATGCTATCTGGAATGCTTCCAGAGAGACGATTTGATGAGAGATCAAGAACACCAAGTGAAGGACAGTCCTGACATTGGTCTGGGATTTCACCTTCCAAATTGTTGTGGGAGACCATGAATGATTGGAGATTCGGAGTGGAAAAAATGGTAGAAGGGAGAGAAGAATGGAGGTTGTTTCTGGAGAAATCAATGAAAGAAAGGGATGTGGAAGAAGCAATGTCATTAGGAATTTCACCAGTGAGACTGTTGTTAGCCAATTCTAACCTTTCAAGATTCCCAAGTTTCCCAAAGCCAACCGGAATTGATCCATTAAGTAAATTGTTATGAATTCGAACACGAACTAGTGAAGGGCACATTGATATGTTGACTGGAATTGGACCTGTGAAGGCATTATTGAAAAGAATAAGCTTGGTGAGATTGCCCTGGCTGCAAAGTGTTTCTGGAATCTCACCAGAGATGAAGTTCGATGATACATCAAGCCACTGCAATGGTGAACTTTTGCCCAAGCGATTTGGCAATGTCCCTGACAAGGAATTTTTCCATAGCTCAAGAACCTTCAGTTGAGGCAAATCCCCAAGTTCAGAAGGCACAGGACCAGATAGAAGGTTGCTCATGAAATTTAGGAGCTCTAAATTCTTCAGTTGGCCAATTTCAGGTGGAATTTTTCCTGATAGCATGTTGTCAGAGAAATCCAGCAACACCAATGAAGTCAGATTGCACAGAGCAGGAGGAATTCTGCCTTTAAAGTTGTTTTTGTATAAGAAAACCGTGTTTAGTAATTTCAGGTTTCCCAATTCAGCTGGAATTTCACCTCCAAGATTGCCTTCGGCCACATCAAGATACTTAAGATTGGTGAGGTTTCCAAACTCTCTGGGAATCCCACCCTCAAAAGCATTGTACCCGAGAATCATATGCTCCAGTGAGGAAAGCTGCCCCAGCTCACCTGGAATTTCTCCAGTGAGATTATTTCCAGAAAGACCAAGGAACCTCAGCTTCCGCAACCTACTGAAGGATTGTGGAATAGACCCTTGGAAGAAGCTGCCTCTGAGATCTAGCGTCTCTAAGGAAGAAGCATTCCCAAGATCCTCCGGAACAAAACCTGAGAAATCATTACTGGATGCATTTAAAATCATAAGTCGTGATGCCTTTCCAAGACCTAATGGAAAATCACCAATGAAGAAATTCTGGCTGACATCAAGACTTCTCAGTGTGATGAGGTTGGCTACAGATTTTGGCAATGCTGTGGAGAACCCATTGCAGCATAAGTTTAGAGTAGTGAGACTTTGTAGCCTTTGTATCTCATCGGATACTTTGCCACTGAGATTCATGTGGGATAGATCGAGCTTCTCGACAGCTCCAGCAGCATTGCACGAGACACCAACCCACTTACAAGGCTCTGCATCTTTTCTTGGTGCCTTGTCCGGCAATTTCCAATCTTGCAGCTTATTCAACGGATCAATAAGACCTGCTTTTATAGAAAGTAGTGTGGAAACTTCATCATTCAAAACAACAGCAAGACCATAAGAGAAACAGAAAATGTAACAGAAGAAGAGCAGAATTTTCAGTTGCATCTTATTCTTCACTCTGCTTAATCTCTCAGTGGTCCATCATTTGCACTCTCTACTCAGAAACTGAAGTGTGATGTTTGGATGGACAGAACACAGAGAAAGTAATGTCTAGTTATGAGGAAGTCGTCGAAACAAGAACAACTAATGCATTTGATCAAGTATAATATATGGGCAATAAAAAAATCATCAATGAGCAGTCATTGTTAAGGGTTCGTCAGGTATTTAACAGCTGGTAATGTGCAAGTAATGACGGGTGAAGCTTTGGTCTTATTGGGAGTTTCTCCGACATAAAACATGGGAGAGAATGTGCCGCTCAATGCTGGTTTAGTTTTAGCTTTGCCAACTTAAGAGATGAATAATTTGGCAACTATATCTTTTTTCCCAAGAAAGTTTCTTCCCTGATTGTTTACTTTTATTCTTTTTTCCTTTCCTTTTTTGTTTTGTTTTGTTTTGTTTTCAGCAATTAATCTATTTTCTTTTTAAGAAGATTGAGAATGAAGGCATCAGAAAAGTGTACCTTCTGGTGTCAAGAGTAAATCCGCTGAATAATTCTTAAGGGTGTGTTCTATCCTAAAACTAATATTTAACCTGCTCACAACTCACAGGTATAAATCAAGTGGCAATCCATGATTGAAATTCGACCAGATGTAGAAAAAGTGACAAAGATAAAAACTATGAAATCAACAAGGAAAAAGTCAATTGGATAAGTCAAGTTCATGTATAAAGCTACTCTTATGTTTTAACCGCGTTCTGAGTGTCGAAGAGAATTTACGAGTTTCAGCAGATGGAAGGGTAGCATCTAAGTATGACAAAGATTCAGAAATGATGCCTTAGTGGGCCATTTAAAATATAGTTAAGGTTGGGATCCACCAAAGAACATTGATGTAATTGTGATTATCTTAACATCAAAATCCAAACCAGAGCCATGTGACAGCGGGAATAACTTTTAACAAATTGTAAACGAAGAAATTTGTACCTTCGATTATCGTATTCTACTTAAAATGGCAGAGCGAGACGAAGAGGAACCATCATCCGTTTGATGGTTCCACCCTCAAAATATTAATTATTCATTATGATTAGAAGCAGGAATCTTTCCATGTTATAGGGCGTAAGAAACATGAAAATAAGACAAACTCTACCCTCCATTAAAAATAAAATTACAAAAAATGAAGAAGTGAAAGACCATAAAAAATTTAATGTATGAGGTAATGCAATGCCAAGAGCTTCAGCCACAACATGACACACAAACTTGATGGACTAGAAATATGCCACTGAGCTAATTTAGGAACCCAAGCAATACAACAAACACTTGGCCTGCAAGTTGTTAATGATCCATGTTTCTAAAAGAGACCCTTTCAGTTTTCAAAAACAAACACGCCCTTCAAGATGAAGAAGAAAGCAATAGATTGAAGCCGAGACATGCCCAGAAGAATAGCGAATAAAATATGACAAGAAAGAAGGTAATGGGAGAAAAGTGCTGCACCTGAGCATTATCAATCATGGTCTGCGACTCTGAAGTCTGAACCCACTAATTACCACATTCTGAGATAAAAACTCTTTCTTTTATCTTTTTGCTCTTTCTGCCTTTCAAGATTCACATGCACACACGTGGTCTGTTTGAATTAACAAAGTGAAGAAAGAGAAATTCCCCCTCCAATGCTTAGAGTTAGAACAAATTCGATACCTAACCACGTAATAAAACAGATGGAAGTCATATAGAGCAGTACCTTCTTCCCAATATTGAATTATTTGATGATGGCTTTTGATAATTGATGCGCATATGGATCCAATCTTAAGGGCGTGAAGTGAAGAGAAGGTCTCCGAGAAGCTTGCTTACGTGCGTCCACATGCTTTTATGCCAAGGGAAACCAGAACCAGCCTTTCATGATTTTAAAATCCAAAACCTAATGTTACACGCAGCAATTAGATGCTAAATGAGATCATATTGCTCCCTGTTGCACATGCGCCACATGAACGTCGCTCAGACACAAACGTTTTCCTGCGCTTTCTACCCCTTTCCTCTTGTCTAAACTCAAGGTCAAGACACTGATGGGAATTCTGAGCTTAGAGCATTAACAACCACACGAAAATTTTGGCATGTGATTCTTAATTATAATGCAAAAAGAAATGGGAAAAAATAAATTTAAAGATAATGTTGTAGAGAGAACTTGAGGGGGGGGGGAGAATATGAAAAATCTCATAATTTTTTCTTCCATTTCTGTGGCTAGATCTAGAAGATCCAACGGACAATTTTTTGTTGTGTCCTGACTTTTTGACCTTTCTGAAAAAAAAAAAAAAAAAGAGTTGGAGGTAGGAAGGTTATCAATAAAATTTGAATCTACAGCTTTATAAGTTATGTAGATTAAATTCTCATTTAATAGATAAGATGAACTTATGTTGATGGACATTGTCAAGTATTAATTAGTACCTCTCTTAAATTAGATTTAAATTTGAACTAGAACTAGTGATATATTTTAAGTTAAACAGGTTAGTTCAAATAAGTTGTTATAAGGGTCAAGTTAAATTAAAAAAATATTAATCCATATAAAAATAATTTTTTTTTAAATTTGAATCAAATAACTTATAACTCAAATGGATTAAGCCTCATGAGTCAAGCTTGCCCTATTTAATCCATATTATTTATTAAAAATAAAATAAATTTAAAAAAGTAAAAATGAAGGGAGTTTTGACACTAAACCCTCACATAACAAGTAGATTTTGAAATAAATTATGGTGAAATTAATTAATCTCATATAATTATGATGTAAATTTTTTTAATTACATGGAATATCATATTAGAAATTCTTATTTAGATATAATTTTTTAAAAAAATTATAAAGATAAATAAATAAGCCAGTAAATTGATTTATTTATTCCACTAACTCACAAAAGTTAAATTGGACAGAGATTTTTTCAACCCATATAAAAATAAATTAAATCTAACTAACTCATGATAGTTGAGTTGTGCATAAATTTTTTTAACTCATATAAAAATAAATTAAATCTAATCAATCTATATGGGTTAACATATATAGTTCAAATAAACTCATATTCCCACTTCTGATTTGAACATTGGCTGGAACGGTTACAAGAGACTAGTCCCCTTTTTATTAAAGCTAACCTACGTGTTATTTTTCACCCTTTGACCATTCACTATCATTACAAACAGTTGACGGCGTTTTTTCGGCCAGATATCCACTTTGCTATGGGCCCTCAACTTTGGGGCAAAACCAAATGGACCTTGATTCTTTGTTTGCATTAGAGATTTGCACACACATGTGACTCAAGCAATAATTATTTTTTAAAAATATATTCTTACATATTTTTATAATTTCACTTAATTTTAAATTCAGTTTCTGTAATTTATTTTATTTTAATTAAATTTTTATAGTTTTATCTATTATGTATATTGACCCTTAAAGATTAAAACTAATAATAAATTATTTAATTATACAAAATAAAAATACTTCTGCAGTTTGCATTTAATTTAATACTATTAGTTAAAATAAAAAAATTGATTTAATCCACTATGTATATCTTTATTATAATTTTTCACGTATAAAAAATATGTAGAAGCCAACTTAATTATATAAATTGTGTTATAAGAATTATGTAATTAATTTTAAAATCATATAATCATTTAATAAAAACATAAAAATTCTTAATTTGTTTATTTAAAGGAAAAATATAAGGATTTTAACTTCTAAGAATTAAAAAAATTAATTATTTAAATTATAAGGGCTTAATTAAAATAAAATAAATTACATTAACCTAATTTAAAATTGAGTGAAATTATAAGGACATGTAAATATGTTTTTCCTTATGTTGGGTTGTGATAAAAATAATCTATTTTTTTGAGCCAACAATCTAAATAGGTTGACAAATAGGTTTTGGTATAGTAGCATCTGATTTTATTGAAAGTTCATCTCTGTTTAAAAAATTCTTAAATTATCTAAAAAATTCTGATAACCATTCTATGTTATCGTCTCATCCCTTGATTTTAAAAATTCATTTAAATTTTCATTTGTCGTGATTTTATTGTATTAATTTTCAAGTAATTCCTTTCAAACCAGCATTAAATCGTTCATTTAAGGAACTCGAGAACAGATAATAAAGTGACGCTGACTCAATAAAGAGATGGAATGAATGACTTGGCCATCTTACATTTGATCCCCCTTTTGCTTTTAGTTCTTGTCACAGAGTTAGCGTAATAATGGTTTCAAGGGAAGCCACGGTTTGAGAAAAAAAAAAAGTTTAATTTTTTATTCAATTGGAGGTCCAAGAATGTGTTGTTCAAAGTATATGCATCACGAGAAATTAGACTAAAAATCCATTTGATTGGAGGGGGGAGAAGGAAAGGATTTTACTCTCCTTCCCTCACTTGCTTAGGAAAAGGGAAGCAAAAATTTTAAAAAAATTTCTCTTCCCTCCCCTCCCAATCTGATTGAGAGGGGAGGGGTATATTTTTATTATACAATGACCATCGTGTTCTTTTTTTAAATTATTACTCTTCATCTTTTTAAATAAGTTGAACAATAATATATTTTAATGATATATTTAATAATAATTATTATTCTATATACTTATAATTACATGTTAAAAACATTTATAATTATATTTTATTGAAAAAAATTTTAATAATATAAGCATAAAATTATTTATATATACTTATTTTCCCTCCTCTCTCCTCCTGAACCAAAGGAGATAACATTAAAACCCATCCCTCTCCTTCCCTTCCATCTCGCCTCCATTCTCCCCTCACCTCTACTTGCATTAAACACAACCTAATTAATATAAGAGCTCGTTTGGTTCGATCTAATAAGTGCCATGGCAGAATCAGTGAACGATAATGATTAAGAAAACGTTATTTAAAATAAGAAAAACGGATCAGACTTGCTAGACATGCCCAATCAGGCCTAAATCTGTTGAGTCAAAACATAAAAATCATGAAATTTTTATATATACAATGGGGCTTAAAAAGTCAGCTTTAATGGACTCAACGCCTGAACAAGTGGGTCAACGGTAACAAAAATCCTGACGACATGAGCCTTTTGAATGCTAGTTAACAGCTTAACACGGAATATTTTGGTTTGGCTTATGTGTCTCTCCTTCTGCCCTTGCCTCCAGCAAGATGTGCTTTAGACTCTCAGCTTATTGTTCTTGTCATAACCTCAGGCGCAGCCTCTAATTGAGCTTGCCCTCCACTAGGACAGTGGCTTCTTTTATCCATGTTCTTGCTCCAAAAAGGATATATCTTCCATGGATTATTATCGTTATTTCTCTCACTACTTTCCCTGCTATAGGCTCTCCCATTAGTTTTACCCTCGTTTCCTAAAACCAATAAATAATCGTTAAGCCTCTTTTTTTTGTTTTGCTTTTAATTTTACTGTCATGTCAAAATGATGTAATTGTAGAGTGTCACATTAGTGTCCTCTTTAAGACTATAATGAGCGTTACTCTAATTTCTAGAGACGGTCGACAAATCCAAAGGTACTCCAACCTGACCAACGTCAATTTGTTACCTTCTGGAATAGCAGTATCGCAAGTTCAAGTTGCAGGGGCAAGGAGGGCATACGAAACAAAAACGCCATTGATTTTCCTGGCACTAACAATTATGAAACGAGGATCATCTTATTTGGACGGCAATTAGAAGATAACAATGAACAGTCGTTGCATTTTTCAACGGCATGCATAACATAATTTTGGCGGACGGATCGTAGAAGACAAACAAAGAAATAAAAGGTTTATGCAGACCCGCAGGAATCGTCTCCCACTTGATATTTTAAGGGCCAACAGGCCAAGAACAAACACACTGTCATACACACCATAAGATGTTAATGTTATATCCGCAGAAAAAGTTTTCAAATTTCATCTCAAGACCATTAGTCATTTCATCCATCATCAATGCAAAAATCAAAATCATCAGACTGTCGGTCATCTATAACTACTGAATGAAGATGGAAACTCAACTCTGGTAGAATTTGCAGAGCCTCATCCCACCAGACTCCCTTTTTTCGAAAGCCAGAGACAAGACTTTCACAAAGAAAAAGCAACAGCCACGGCGAGTAACAGCTCATGGTTTCCACCATTTCCATCCATCGACTAGCCACAAGCCGATCAATTCACTTAGGTTGTATATGGTTAAAAGGCATCTCCCACGAAGTAGGACCAGAAAATTGTTACATAAATGCAAATTAGCAATTCTTTCTCAGGCACAAGTGAAGCAAATTAATTATTTGAACGGTAGCCAAAACAACCCTCAATCTAAGGTTCCGTGCAGTACTAATGCTTCCGCAAAACAATATATTGTTCAGGTAATCACTTCAACTGATCTTTCATAAGTTTTAAGGTTGTCAGTACAGCAAATGATTGTTAAACTTGCTCAGGTATACAAATCAACCACTAATTCACTCATCATTATATTTCCTATGGAATCAATTGGACAAGAACTCTATATTAAAAAATTATTAAACCTTGCAAAATACATTTCAAGTGAGCACTAAGGAGAATACATGATGTAGAAATCAGAAAAACCTATATAACAAAAATGTGGAAAGCAGATAACATCTCCGTGTTGGGGTTACCTGTGACAAGGCCTGTCAACTAATCTTGCAAACAAGTTCTGCAATAGAGTCATAACATAGAAAGCATCAGTTCCTTCGATTCTTTCCTAATCAGAGAAAGGCATTTTCCTGAGCCTGCTTTAAAGCCCATTTTAAAATTTTGTGGATGCGTTACCTTCCTTTTTCATGAATGACCCCTTTGCTCATTCTTCCAAGAATTTTTAGCAGCTTCAACAGAGGATTCATTGGAATCCCCATTTCCGTCCTTTGGCTTTGAGAAGAAAGGATCCCATTCATGAGGTCCTACCACATGCTGCCGCTCCTCTAACAATGCATATTTCCAGCTGTTCTCCTCAATGAAGTTGTCATTTGTATGCCCTGCAATGATATCCTTCCTTAAAGTCGAAACCTTGTCAATAACTGCCTGTACAGCAACATCGAAGGCATCTTTAAGAGTCTCCAATTTAGAGCGAGGATCGGCATATACGAGTCTTGGAATGAGACTAATGACCTCCTCCCTCATGATTTTCACCTGCTCAGAAGGTATCTGCCTTAGCCTTTCCTCTATGCTGACATTCCTCTTCCGAATATCATCCTCTGGAATAAAGACAGAATATTTGGAATAGTTCTTAGGAAGATGCCATGTATATTGTGTGTATGCTGAACCCGGATGGAAGAAGACAGGTATACAACCAGCCAACATTGAATCAAAAGCAGATCTCCTTGTGTATGAATCACCCTGGGGTTGCAGGCAGAAAAGCGAGCTCTGAAACATCTGCATTATGCTGCTTGGAGAATGGCATTTGCTTTCACCAAAGTCACATTCCAACAGCTTACCAACCTTTGACCTCTTGCATTGGTCAATTATCTGCCCCCTAATTGATTTGGGGTTGTCAGGACGTGGAGCTCCAGCAAATGAGAAAAGCCACTTCCTCTCTAATCGTCTCATTCTGTCCTGCCAAATGAACACATCAGCATCTTTTGCAGGGTGGAAGTATGTGGGATATGGAATACCAAAATCATTGGCATTCCAGGGACTGGATTCAACCACAAGCATGGACATATTCTTTGCTGCTGGTAAAAACAAAAGCTTACTACCCCAATCTGATTCTTCATCACTTAGTCTCCGGAAATCCCATGTTATTCTTCCTGCAACAAGAAAATGGTCTCTACCATTCATTATACCCCACTCTGGCCTCTTCATAAGCCAGTCAACCAACTCAAGTGATGCGGCATCTCTCATTGAAATATTATAACCCCAAAGATAACGTGCAATATCAAACCCAGCATAGAAGGGTACAAAAATTGCAGCAGCAATAGACGAATCCTTTGTCAAGCAGTCATACTGTTTCATCCGATTGTTGAATATCACATCGACAGCAAACTGATTTGTGGCGTACCATCCCGTATCTGAGAACACCCCTTCAACATTCTCCAGCGGCGGACCAAGCCCAGTATTAGTGGTAAACTTACACATATTAGTCCACAGACTTAAAGTCCTGCACTGCTTCAACATATCCTCGTTAAACTTTGAGGGAAGATCGTGCACATAAATATACCTCCCCCCACAAGGGTCACTCTTGTTTTCGGAAGTTCGCATTGCTTTTATAAATGGATAATTCTTCTCAGGGCTTTGTACCTGACGGGCATTGTCATCTTTTGGAGGCCTCTGCAACTGATGAATGCCGATATTTCTTGGAGGGGTTAGTCCTTGACTGACTTTGGCTACAGGAACTGGGGTCGATTCATGAATAACAGAAGCAGGTTCTAGTTTCGTTGACTGATCAACATTAGTACCTCCTAGCACCACAAAGTGAAAGTACAGTAGCAAAAACCAGAAAAAAGCGGACAAGGATGCCAAACAGCAAAGCCGAGAATTCTGGCCTTTTACTGCCCCTTTCTGCATTTGTCCAGGGATAACGCCCGCCAAAGGGCGGCGTCTCATTTCATTCCGACCCCAATCGAATAGTCAGCCAGTTAATCACGAAACTGATACTCTCTCGGTTACCCACAAAATAAAATCCGAACTCACACACCAAATCTTAATCAACGAGATTCAACCAAGACACAAAACCCTAGAGTAAACAGGAATGTTTAATTCTGAGTATGGGATCAGCTCCAAAGAAAAGGAACAGACTGTGGCGGCAAAACTATTTGCTAAACACAGAGGAATGAGTTGATGGGAACAGAAAGAAATGGAAATCAATAAGAACGAATCAAAAAGAGTACGTGCCCAATTAAGAATATCAAAATCAGCACGAATCACGAGGAACGGCCGAGCCTCTTCGACTAGATAAATCTCATAGGAAGCAAAATTACAGAGAGCTAACGGCTCAAAACCGGAAAACCCGCGCCGAATAAAGTGAGTGGGGGAGAGAGAGAATCAAACTACTTACGGAAAGAGTCGTTCAGCAGCAGAGAGAATTCCAGAATTTGAAGGAGCGAATTTTGCAGAGAGGCGACAGAAGAAAGGAGAAAGGGCAATAGGAGAGAGCATGTAAATTGGCTGATAGAATGCGAGAATGATGGGGGGTGCACGTTAGCAACGTGCGTGGAGGTCTGTCATCTATGTCGGTAGCCTGTGGAACTGCGACACGTGGAGAGGTGTATGACGTGTAGGGTTGATGAAAGTGAGCCCTGCCCCATGATTAGCGTCAGCATGAATTTGCAAAATAGCAACGATTCAGACCATTACATGGCCATGATTGTTTTGGCTCAAAATTAAAATAAAAATAAGAAAAGAGATTGCTTCCCTTCCATGAGGACATGTACACGTGGAACCTAAATAGTGGACTAAGCATCCCTCACTGCGGCATCGGGGGTGCTTTTTTCTTCGTATTTGTATTTATCAACACTTCAGAATAAAAGAGCCAAATTTTCATTGAAATTTTTCTTGGACAAACAAAACTTTTATTGGAATTTGTGTATAATTTTACATATTTTTATTTTTTCTGCTTGATGGATATAGTAAGAATAGCCTTGTTGTCGTTATATGACACTAATAATTACTCTCATCATTTAAAAATATAAAATATTTTTTAAAAAATTAAATATTTAAAAATATAAAATAATTTTAATCTTTTAAAATATAATTATTATTTTTTTAAAAAATACTTATTGATAATAACTTTATTATAAAGTATTTAATAGGTATAAATATAAAAAAATAAAATTAGTTGAAAAGTATGTAACTATTTTATTAAAAGATGAGATTCGGTTAAAAATGTTTTATATTTTTGAACAGAGAGAGTAGCATGTTATTTCAGAAATGTTATAAAATGATAGTATTTTTTATTATTTTAAGAAATACTTTTAAATTTCCAACAATTTGATAACGGAAAGAATACTTCTAGTAAAAATGAAACTAAAAATATTTTTCAATCATTTAACGTGAATTCAATGTTGAACCTCCATCTCTTTCAAAGTAGAAATATTATAGTTGAAGCTAAAGCATCATGTCTCTCAAAAGTAGAAATATTATAGTTTAGGCTAAAATATATTTTTAATTTTTTAATTTATATAAAATTTTAATTTAATTTTTTAATTTTATAAAGTATCTTTTTAATCTTTTAATCTTAATATATTTAGTTTCAAATGATTATTTTTCCTTTAATCCTAATAAATGTTAACATTTAAAAATATTTTATGAATATTTAAAAGTTTATTGTAAAATTTTTCTATGATGAAATTAATGGTGTTAAAATTATAAAACTGAAAAAATAATTTATTAAATTAAGAAATTAAAATAAAATTGTATCTAAAGTTTAAAAGCTAACCTTTAAGCTTTACTCTTTCTGATCATATTTATAAATCATTTTTACTAATTTCATTGATACCAAGGTAATAAAAGTATAATAAATAAAATTTAATTAAATTATAAATATAAGCACATAACCTTTAAAAAGTAAATAAACTATATAATATTATTTTTTTATTTCTCTCTCTCTTATTTTTTGAGGATAATTTAGATATTTTATTTAAAATAAAATATTATTATTAATTTAATAATTTATAAAATAAATTATTTTTTTAGAGGTGACTAATAAAGTAAACTGAAGGCAACAGTGGCATAAAAAATAATTAAAATTGGGACAGTGATAGGCGTCAAAATTGGTCTGGAAGAAGCCAACATACGCTGAGGCATATATAAAGTGGACCACTAGCATTAAAAAATATGGTACAAATGCACGTTGATTTGCCACTTAAACTTTATTATCATTATCAGCAATTATAAGCAATATTAGCAAGTGGTTTATTTAAGCAAAGCACATTGCCACCCTTTTTTGCGGATTTAGATCCATTAAATTAAATTAAATTCAAACATTAACATTACAGTGGTCATATTAATATATTTTCATTCATGGTCACACTACTGTTCTACCATTCCAATGACAATATCTATGTTACCTAACATTATTTTAAAAATCAGACCAAATTAAATGGGCATATCAGTTAGGTTGTCAATATGAGCCATTAACAGCTCAATTTGACTCAAAAAACTATTTTTATAATTAAACTAGGTGGGATCAAAATTAAGCTGAAAATCGGAACGGTTTTTAAAAAAACCAAATAGTTTAAAACATAATATCAAAAAAGCTTACAAAAAGTTAGAAAAAAATTCAAAAATTAACACATACACACAAAATATGATTTGAAATTATTTTTTTAAGAAAATATTAACAACTACAAATGCAAATGCAAATAATTTGTAATATACTCATACCTAATTTAACTAAGATCTAACTATATTTGAAAAGTTATAAAATTATAAAATTTATAATATTATTAATTTATGATTATATTGTGTTATTTTATTAACAACTAGACATATTTTAAGATTCACTGGCCTTTCTGTTTCAATACCCTATCTAGCTTTTAAAACATTGCCAGCATTATTTGAACCCTTAAAAAAATGACTCATATCAATATTTTACCATGGTACCGACGCTGCGAGTACATACTCGTAAATTTAATGAGGTGTAGTTTGGCCCTGTTCGATCAGATAATAATGATAAAAATTCTGGTTGAGGAAACCAGCAGAAAGAGAAAAACTAAGAAAGCAAAAAGAAGTAGTAGGTAAAGCCAAGAACCAGGCCTTGAGATGTTGTTGGTTATGTTGGTTCGTCCATCCACCTTGAGATCGTCAAAGTACAACCTAATTCCTGGCTCCGTCATCTTCACTTGGCTGCCATGCAACACCGAATTGGACACACCCTGAACATTACTGTTTATATAAATGTTGATGCAGCAGCAATCTTTTGGTTCACCTTTGAAGCTTCTCTGGTACACTCGCATTGATGCTCCAACGTTGTTTCCATCCAAGTTGATGTACTCATCAGATGAGCCATGCTTGCCATTCGAGTCCATGTCTCGTTCCTTAATTTCTCTCGAGTGCCAGATTCAGCTACATCTAATGTTGCTGCTATTTGATCATGTTCTTGGGTTGTTTTGTTCTTCATTCATAGGAGGCATGCTGATTTCTCAGTGAGGCTTTCTTAATTAATTAGAGTTTATATATACTAGATCTGTCGGTTGCCTCCAGATGAAGAAAACCTGTCATGCCAGTGGAATGGCTTGAAGGGCACTCAAAGCGGACACAACTTTGAGCAGTGAAATGACTTAAAACACCAAACTGGCTAGATAAAATTACAACTCTGAGCAATCAACTCAGATATATGCATGCCACCTAATGGCACATAAATGAATGCACATCAACAACTTTATGTTTAGGTCATAAACAAATTTTTTTCTGCTAAACTTATGAGTCAAGACAGATTGATATGTGACTTGAGCAGTAGTACTTTTTCCCCCACTGGAAATCACTTTCCAGAGGCGTAATAAACACTGCATCCCTAGGTATGTAAAATATTGAGTTCTGCCTGCATTTACAGAAGTTTACATCTTCTCAACTATTCTCTCTTCCTCAACGTCTCTTAGTATTTTGACGAGCTATTATTTGACAATTATAAAGAGATGAAAACAAAAACTATGATTCAAACATTTTAAAGATCTCAGGAACACCCAGCTCATAAATATTTCCCGTGCTAGTTCCATCTTCTTTGAACGCTGAAACAAGTGCTACAGTGACATCAACAACATATACATGCTGGATTCTAGGATAGCTGCGTTTGTCAGAAAAGATATACCCACACATGAATTGATATGCCAAAAGAAAGATCCACGAGCATGACATTTTTGTAAAAAGAGAAAGATTTGCAATTCCCCTAACTTCTTTCAAGATTTACTATACCCTTTTTGGTGCCTCCCCAATCACAATCAATGGAAGAAAGCTATACTTTTTGCACAGTGAGCCCATCATTTCAAAATTTGATCTTCTGTACTAATTATGATAGCAGCTTTCATTATTGTGGACTGTACAGGTACATGTCAAGAACTGAGGCTTTAATTCTGGTAGCAAGGCTGCATAGCCTAAAATTTACCCAGATTTTACATTTCAACAGAAAATGAACACAGATATCCTCATGGAAGCCATAATGTATTCATAATTAGACATCAGCTTTATGTTGTCCATCAGCACTAGAACAGCTGCAAATCTACTTTCTGTAGAAATTTTAACAAGTTGCAGTAATTTATGTCACAATATTCCCTTACCCAACAATATCCAGGAGATTCTAAGGAAATCCAGGATATTGAAGAGTTAGCAGTGGTACACAACGATGCGCAAGAGAATTAAATACACTCTATTAACATGTAAGATATTTGGCTTCCTTCCTTATCAATCAGGAGAATTCGCCTTTATGTCAAAAAACCAAAGCCTCAGCCATTCCATCTTAGAAAATTAAAAGCAAGATAGTCAATATATATATAGCACAATGGCCTTCTTTGTTCATCTTTAATTGGCAGAAATTGTAAACTGATCTATTGACTTACAATAATTCCATCAAGATCTCTTCCTCAGCTGCAGCTTTGGCTTTTAGCATCCTCGACGGAGTTGATGGAGATGCCCCTACACAAAGAGACGTAAATAATAAATCTCATGACAGATGATAAGTCCATGTATGCTCCTAGGCAATCTGCATCCCCTCAGATTAACATTTAGATAATAGAGTATCGGATCAAATTAGATTACTGATGCGCACAAAATTATAAAACACACAAGTGTATGGATCCAATGTGGTAGAGCGAATCAAGATTGTCTCGCAAGAAACTAAATAAAAGAAATTGGACACAACTGAAAGTTGTTTTCGTTTCAATTAAGTTATCCGATCAAAGGTAAAATTTTTGTTAAATTTAAAAATAAAAATAAAATAAAATAAAATAAGATAAAAGGTAAATTCAAGATAAGATTAATAATTAAAGAGCTCCCTAAGAATTATGATCCCTTTTTATACTTTGCAATTTAATTTATCCTAATTATCACATTCTAATTTAACTTTAAAATTAATGATTTAAATTAGATTATGCATCCATCAATTACAAAACCCATAATCTAATTATACTATGATTTCTCAAACAAATCTTGATTCAATTCTATACAAGCCTTAAAAGATTATCTAGGGCTCTTAAGTATTTTTCTATCTCAAGCACAAATTAGATTAAATCTAATCTTAAGTTGCTTCATATGTAACATCCCAATTTAAATTTTAATAGTTAATTTGGGTTAATATAAATTTTGAAAAATATTTAGAGGTAAGCAAATTAGTAGAAAATGATTATTAAATTTAATTTAGGATATAATTCTAAATTAAAATAAAAAAATTAAAAAAAATTAATTAATTAAAAAATAAATAAATAAAATATTATTAAATTATTATTATTATTATAAAAGAAAGAAAGAGAAAAGGTATGAGAAAGAGGAAGGAAAGAAGGAAGAAAACGTGAGCGCTTTTGGTGCAATGATTATGTATATAATAATAAAAAAAGGGAGAGAGAGGAAAGAAGAAATAATAAAAAAAGCTGTGAGACCCACTTAATTTTTATAAAAACTCACCCGTTTCCTTCATTTCTTCATTCTTTCCTTCGTGCGCGAGCTGAGGCAGAGTGAGCGTGAGTCGCCGGTGCAGGAGATCTGAATTTTTAAGGTAAGAATTTTTAATAGGATATTTAGGGTGTGATTTTAAGCTTTTCAAGACTAAGTAAGTATTCTAAAAAATTTTCTTAAGCATCCTTCCTCTTTGATTTCTGATTTTATAGTGGTAAAAAATTTAAGATCTGGAAGAGGGATGAATTTATGTTGAATAAATATGATTTTTGAGGTTGTTAGTAGTATAATAAATATTCTAGAGTATAAATTTATTGGTGATCTTTGAATTTATGGCTTATGGATCAAATTTTAAACTAGATCTGAAAATATATGTTGATTTATTGAGGTTTAGATGATTATTTGGGATGAGAAATGAATTATTATGGCTATAGGATTATGATTCTAAGCTAGAGACTCAATTTTTAATTTTTGAATATTTTAGGTATGAATTTATAAATTAAAAAGAAAATTTTGATAATAGAAATTAGTTTAGAAGTTAATTTTTAGATTATTAATGTTTATTGATAATTAAAAGAGGAGTTAAAAATTTTACTTAATAGTATTGACTCTAGATTTGTATTAAGATTGAGATTAAGAATTATGTTATTTTTAATTCTATTATTAAAATTATTTTATTAGTTTTAAAAATTGAAACTAATATTTATAAATAATATGTTATTTGTAGATTGTATTATTGGTGAAGATTGTGGTGGGAGAGAAATTATAAGAAATAATTTATTAAAAAAGCCACGTGGTAACCATGCTTTTAATTTGTGATTAGTGTTACTTCATATTAATTGGGTAATTATTGAGAAAATTATAAATTTTGTAATATTGTATAATTGTGGAATATTATTATGAATTTGTTTGATTATTGTGGGAGGTGTTGGTAGACTTGCTATTATTGTTGTATTTATGTGCCACGTGATACGCCCCTATTGGAGCTCAATAGGTGGCTTGTAATGGCTCGAGCTAATCTACTTTTGGCCGGGTAATTTAGCACCGAGTGAGGACTACGGCTCGAGGCTAATGGAGGGATATAAAGATGATTGTTTGTGTGTATTGTAATATTTCTTATATTTGTTGGAATTATATTATTTTTAATTCTCACTTAGTAAGCACACACTTAACTGTTTGTATACATTATCATAAATTGGTATTGGTTACTGGAACTTTTGAGTCTCATTATGTGGTTAACAATTTTCAGGAGAAGAGCCACGAGTGACACGTGAAGGAGTCTCAGAGGCTTAGTGGCATAGATCCACTATCTCTTTTGGGTATTTAATTTATGATTTATAATGTGTTATATTGTCAATATTAGGGCTTTTTGTTTATTGTCAATTATATGAATATATAAATGTAATCATGCCTTTCAAACTATTTCTATTTTTGGTATACTTTGGATGACTGTAATTTTAATATTTAATTTACTTTAGATTGGTTAAAATGGCATGATTATGACGCCAAATAACTGGCTTGTGTTGAAAATTGATTAAATTATTTATTTTACTTGTTGGGAGTATAAGGATGGACAAATGTGATTTAGTTTACTTGTTGAAAGTATAAGGATGGATAAATGTGATTTAGCCTAGTGGCATGTGGGAGGTAAAAATTTATCTGAAATGTTATATTATGTAAGTTGAAGCCAATTATAAAATATTTTATATTAAAATTATTAATATAAAAATATGTTGGGTGGCTGTAACCCAATTGGTTGAGTTAAATTATTTAAAAAAAAATTTGATGTGTTACATCATACACAATCTATTTGAAATTCCCTCTTGTCAAAGGCAAAAACCAAAATCCAAACATGTTAAAATTGGCCATTAGAGTAGTATGAGAACAAAAATAAAACTTATTATGCATTAAAGCATTCATCAAAATTGATGACAAGAAAAACATATATCTACAAATTATTAAATCTTCATAGAATCCCTAAAGATAAAAGAAATCTAGCCATTCATAGCTCTAAGTATGCAAAACAATTCAAAAACAATACAAAGAATCAAAGACATAGAGTAGAAGAGAAAAAAAAAAAAAATCTCCAAAGGATGCTCCATGATGACTCTTAAATCTCTAATCTAGCCTCCAAATACTTGATTGATGCCTCAAAATTACTTTCATAGTTTCAGTTATAAATTTCGACACTCTTAGAAGTCTATTAGGGTTTTATTTATAATTTTTTGCATCTTTTTGGCCTTTAAGTTCTATTTTATCTCATATGATTTTATAAGATATTGTTTAATTTCGCATTTGGATTCAAAAAAACTAGCCACAATCTCGTGCGTTGCACAGGTAGGCAAATTTAATAAGATACAAATGATAGTGTAGTTTAAAAAAATAACCATAATGTGTGGCACCTAATTAGAAAAAAAATGACGTC